GCCCAGGGCCAGGTCTAGGAGGCTGCCTCGAGGGACCGCTTTTCGATCCCGGGCTCGCCTCCTCCGCGTTAGCCCCGCCCACAGGGCGAGCCGAACATTTCGCCCCGCCCCTCACTCCGTCCCCGACCGCGCACAGGAGCTTAGTCGGTAAGCCACGCCCAGCGAGGAGCCCCAGCCCCGCCCACTTCTGTTTAACACGCAGGAGCACCCAAACACATTTGGGGTCTCAGCTCCGTTCACCTTCCGCTCACACACCCCTTTTTCTGGGTCGTTGACTTCTGCTCAGCTGCTGGTTGGGCCTGGTTTAATATTGCCAATCAACGAGGAGTTCTGTCAACACACACAGAGAATGTAACAAACTTTGACCTCAACTCGGAGTAAAAGCCAAAGTTCATATGAACAGCCGTAAAGTATGCTCTCGTTCACTTCCCCTTTACAAATCCTATTTCTTTTCTTCTCTCTCTCTCTCTCTCTCTTCAGGTTGTGCTTAGTCCTTTATTAGTGTTTTAAAATATACACAACATAAAATTCACCGTTTTAACTTTTTTTTTCCTTGATCGTGAAACAGATCAAGAAAAGATCTGGTTTGTGAGCGACAGAAACCCTACATGATTGTAGGAGATGATGTGCTTTGATGGGAGGGAGCTACTGTGTAAAACAAGAACCTGATGACTGTGAAATTATTTTTAAAATGACAGACAAGCCAAAGAGCTTTCTAGGAATGTCTGACATGGACTATACATACTAACTTCTATGTGAGACTGGATTTCTACATCCAACAAAATTGATGGCGTGTGGATCACTGAATGGATTTCTGAAGACGGGTTATTTTAGACATGGTTGTTCTTCAACATTAAAGACTGGAAAACAATTGCTGAACCCCTGTTCAGTCAGTCAGTGCATTCTCTGAGGCCAAAACATAGAGTTGCCACAGACTGGTTTTAGGGATGATAATTGACTTAGATCACTCATTTATACAGTTATTGAATAATTACTGTAATATTTATTATAAGCAATTGAATCATTTTAAAGTGTATGATTCAGTGGCATTAAGTATATTCACAACATTGTGCAACCATCATCATGATCTCTTTCCAGATCATCCCAAACAGAGAATCTGTATCTATTAAACAATATCTCCTTATTTTATCTACCTCTAGGCCATGATAACCTCTACTCTGCTTTCTATCCTGATGAATTCGCATATTTTAAATATCTTTATAAATAGAATCACACCTTTGTCCTTTGGTATCTGGTTTATTTGACATTAGCATAATGTTTTCAAGATATGTCTATGTTGTAGCATATATCAGAACTTCATTCTTTTTTTTAAAAATTGGCCAAGTGTAGTAGTTCACACTTGTTATCTCGGCACTTTGGGAAGCCGAGGTGAGAGGATTGTTTGAGCCCAGGAGTTGGAGACCAGCCTGGGCAACATAGCAAGACCTCATCTCTATAAAAAAAATTTTTTTTAATTAACTGGTGGTATGTGCCTGTAGTCCCACCTACTCAGGAGACTGAGACAGAAGGATCACTTGAGTCCAGGAGGTCGAGGCTGCAGTGAGTGGTGATCATGCCACTGCACTCCAGCCTTGGTGAAACCATAAGACTCTGACTGAAAAAAGAAAAAAACCGTGGTAAAATGCACACAACATAAAATTGACCATTTTTTTGTGTGTATTTGGAACTGAGCCCAGTTCTAGACTGAGGTCTTTCTTCCCCCATTGTAAAAGTTCCTGAATAAAATCTGTTTTTATAGTTTAAGTACCATTCAGTTCTGGGTTTTCTTTAAAATTTTTTTATTTGACATTTTAATTTCTTTTGACTGTAAGTCACTTTTTGCAGCTAGAAAACAAAAGCAGCCTAAGACAATCTAGTCCTCCAGAGATGCAGGGCGAGTCTTGCAGTCCTTAGGAGAATGACATTATAGGTTATGAAATCCAAATAATAAACACTTATCTACATTCTTCATTAGGAAATAGCCAAAAGTTCACTCCTTAAAGGTATAATATACAGAACATCTTTGTCTACAAAACACAGAATGACTCAAACTGCATGCCGTTCAAGCTACTGCTGAACTGATCAGAACCGACCCCTTGGTGAACAGAGAAAGTATTTTGAAAAATTGCTCTGTGCTTTAAAAAATTCCTTTCTTATTTGCTGTTAATAAGAAAGCCATGGCTGGTACAGTGGTTCATGCTGTAATCCCAGCATCTTTGGAGGTCAAGGTGGGAGGATCAATTGATCCCAGGAGTTCAAGACCAACCTGGGCAACATAATGCAATCCCAGGTCAAATTTTTTAAAAACATGAAATTGTAAAAAAAATTAAAATAAATAAATAACAAAGCTAGAAACAAATATTACAGATGAGCCCACAATGATATTTGATTTTACCAAGGTCTTCTACTAGAACATAAAGGTAGAGATAAGTGTGGGGATATGATACTTAGATATTTTAAAAATAAGTTACTCAGGGATAAGAAATTAGATATACTGCATTCATCCATTTGCTACAAGAACAAATTAATGGTGAAAACTATTTAAAAGATATGCTCAACTTCAAAGAGGGTGGCGGCAGTAACACTTTTTATTGCAGTACAAGGTCCAGTTTTCCCAGACAGTTAACAGTGCTATTCTACCATGATATGTATTCATGTGGGGAAAACCTGTTGTGAGCATTTGCTAGAGTCAAAAGATGGAAAATAGGGAGTGTCATCATTAACTAACTGTGAACTCAGTTAACATCTTTGGGATGGGGCCATAGAATCTGGCCTTTTTAATTTTTTTTTTTTTGAGTTGGAGTGGCACGCTCACAGCCACCTGCAGCCTCGACCTTCTGGGCTCAAGCAATCCTTCCGCCTTGGCCTTCCAAGTAACTGGAACCACAGGCATGTGCCACCATGAACGGCTAATTTTATTAATTTATTGTAGACACGAGGTCTCGTTAAGTCGCCCAGGCTGGTCTCAGGCAATCCTCTCGCCTCTGCCTCCCAAAGTGCTGGGATTACAGATGTGAGCCACCATGCCCGGCAATCTGGGCATTTTAAAAAAAAACTTCGTTTCAATGGCTTTAGAGGATACACATGATTTTTGGTTACACAGATGCATTGTAAACTGGCAAAGAAGTCTGGGCTTTAAATGTATCCTCCACTCTCACCTGATTTTTTTCATCCCTACCCTCCCTCCTTTCTGAGTCTCCAGTGTCCATTATACCATTCTCTGTGCCGCTGCAGATTCTTAGTTTCGCTCCCACTTATAGGTGAGAACATGTGGTGTTTTGTTTTCCATTCCTGCATTACTTCACTAAGTATGATGGTCTCCAATTCCAAAGTGGTCACAAAAGACACTCATTCCTTTTCATGGCTGACTACTATACCAATCGGAATGACCGTTATTTTAAAAATCAGAACACAATAGACGTTAGCATGGGTGCAGTGAAAAAGGAACATTGCCACTGCCAGACCATTACCGCCATTGCCTTGCTAAGCTATGGTGTGGCCATGTGCTCTTTGAGCTACAGCCAGGCCATGTTTTCGTAAGTTTTGGCTCCCTTCCCTAACCTGGGGAGGTGAATCTTCTCTTTCTTTCTCTCTCTCTCTCTCTCATTTACTTTCTAAATAAACTATATTTTCTTTTTCTTTTTTCTTGAGTCAGAGTCTCACTCTGTCACCCAGGCTGGAGTGCAGTGGTACACTCACAGTCACCCCAGCATTGACCTGCTGGGCTCAGGTGATCCTTCCGCCTCAACCTTCCAAGTAGCCGGAACTATAGGCACGTGCTACCATGCCAGGCTAATTTTTATATATTGTAGAGACAAGGTCTCACCAAGTTGCCCAAGCTGGTCTTGAAACCCTGGGCTCAGGCAATCCTCTTGCCTCAGCCTCTCAAAGTGCTGGGATTACGGGTTTGAGCCACCATGCTTGGCAAAAAAAAAGAAAAAAGAAAGGGAATGTTTATGCACTGTTGGTGGGAGTGTAAACTAGGTCAACCTCTATGGAAATTTGTATGGAGATTTCACAAAGAACTAAAAGTAAATCTTCCATTCGACCCAGCATTCCCACTTCTAGTCATCTACCCAAAGGAGCAGAGGTTGTTATACAAAAAAAGACATCTGCAAGTGTATGTTCAAAACAATTCACAATTGCAAAGATGTGGAATCAACTTAAATGCCTATCAGTGGATGATGAAGCTGTCATGTTGATATACCCTGGCCATTGTTTTGTTAAACCACTACAAACTGAAGAATTCCCTTTCCCTTAGCCATAATTTCTGCTCAGTATCTTAAAGCTAAGGCAAGCAGTCCACTGTGACTCTTCTCCTTGGGACCAAGGTGGATGCTAGCCATCAAAATCTGGAGTGTCATCAGAAGAGTAACTCTGGCCAGGCACAGCGGCTCAAGCCTGTAATCCCAGCACTTTGGGAGGTCGAGGTGAGAGGATTGCCTGAGCCCACGGGTTCGAGAATAGCCTGGACAGCTTGGCGAGCCCTCATCTCTACAATAAATCAAGAAATTTGCTGGATGTGGTAGCGTGCCTGTAGTTCTTGCTACTTGGAAGGCTGAGAGGGAAGGATCGCCTGAGCCCAGCAGGTCGAGGCTGCGGTGGCTATAGGCGTGCCACTGCATTCCAGCCTGGGCAACAGAGTGAGACTCTAACTCAAAAAAAAAAAAAAAAGAGTAACCCTGAAAGGCTTTGGATGCATGGTAGGCCATGCACAACTGGTAAAATCAAATCCCAGCAGGAACACCAGAATGCCAGTGATCAGAACTTGGAAAGGTTTGGT